GGCTCAGGTCATGATCCCAGGGTCCTGGGATCGAGCCCCGCATCGGGCTCCCTGCTCTGCAGGAAGCCTGCTTCTCCCTCTCCCGCTCCCCCTGCTTGTGCTCCCTCTCTCGCTGTGTCTCTCTCTCTGTCAAATAAATAAACAAAATCCTTAAAAAAAAAAAAAGAATTTAAATAGTGGGATATGCTCACTGATGACAATTCTTCCCACTTTTTTGTATGTTTGAACACTTTTTTATCAAGTATTTAGGAAGAAATACAACTGAGAGCAAGCTAGAGAATCCATAATTTGGGGAATGGTTAAATCAGTTGTGGCACAGACCTCTGATGTGGGTTTCTGAGGCCACACAGGTGGGGGTTCCGCTAACTTTGCAGGAACTGACACCGTCACGTGGAACGAGTATGTGCGCACGCGAGGGTCACCGATGATGGTGCTCAGCCGTGGTACCTACAGCATGCTAACACGGGCTTTAGAAGGAAGCAGACCTGCCTGGGTGCAACTCTATCCTGCCACTCACACTGGGATACTCCCCGTGCCTCATTTTTGTTCACCTGTAAAGACAACTGCGTTTGCCTCCCAGGGTTGCAGGGAAGGTCCGAAGAGTCGGTGCCTACTACTAAAGGGTGCTCGGTAGGGAGAGAGGCTGCTGTCACAGAAACATCTCCGAGCTGTGCCCCGGGGGGCCGGCCACCAGGTATGGGGGACACAGGTGACTGGCTCACGCTCACAGAGGAGGGTCTTGAGCACCGCCCCCCAGCAAAAGCTTGTATTTCCTGAGCAAACAAGTCACCATGATTATTTTTATTTTTTTTTAAGATTTCATTTACTTATTTGAGAGAGAGAGAGAGAGCACAAGCAGGGAGAGTGGCAGAGGGAGAAGCAAGCTCCCCGCTGAGCAAGGAGCCCAACTCAGGGCTCGATCCCAGGACCCTGGGATCACGACCTGAACCGAAGGCAGATGCTTAACCGACTGAGCCACCCAGGTGTCCCCATGATTACTTTTCTTAAATGCTGAAAAGAAAACAGACGGTAGAAGTACACTAAAAATGCTCACAGGGGCTCACAAGCTGGTGAGATTGGAGACAGTTCTCTTTTCTCATCCCTGTCCTACGAGGTTCAATAGAATCTTGACCTAGAGCTTGCTTCTCCACCCCTGCCCGCACCAGACTCCCACACACCATACGGAACACAGCTCAAACAGCGCCACCTCAGGGGAGCCCCCCCGACCCACCAGACCAGGTCAGTTCCCCAACACAGCACCCTAACACACCCCACCCCCCTTGTCCACACATTTATGCATGTGCGTGATCATCTGTCTCACGGGTCCCATTTGATACCAGGAACCCAGCCTGGTGCCTGCAGCCTAGAATGTTCTAAGTCAATGGTTGAAAATGAGTTCCAAGTGTTTGAGAAAGTGACTTCATTCTTTGCAGACTGAAAAATAAATAGAAAGTGGGTGGTAGGTGGGGGGTGGGCGTGGGCAATAGACCCAGTACATCCACGTTTGTCCTGGGCAACACGATGCAGCTCTTAACTATCAAAGAAGTACGGCAGCGCATCCTGCGGTTCGACTTCTTCCCTGGGCACAGACCCCACTCCGTACGCTCCAGCCCTGTGCAGAGCCTCCCTCTGCAGGTCCCTGCCTGCTGACAGCTGGCCGTGGGCAATCACGAGGGCCCCCAGGGATCGTGGCTCCATTTCCAGCAGGAGGAATGGGGGCACCTTCAGAGGATGTCACGTGACCTCTGGTTGGGGCTCCAAGCAACCGCTGTGTCACATGCTCAGCATATGCATCTGTGAAATTGCAGCACTAGAAGACTTCTTAGAGGCCAAGTCGGCTCAGCAGCCTTCTGTCCACCTTCTAGACAGGGACACTGAGCCCCCGGATGGAAAGGGGCTTTCCCAGGTCACGTTGCCGTGTAAGGATTTAGCCGGGCAGGTGTTCGTGTTTTAATCCCCAATTATCCTACAGCTGAACTCAGAGAAAAAGGGACTTACTCATCACTATTAAGTGATGTTGTAGGGTGTCTCCCAGATCGGCTCCCAGACCCAGGACTGAGGCACTCCTTCCCGCAGCTGACAAAGGGCCACCCGTAGCAGTCAGAGCCGAGTCTCTTTCCAAGAATTACTCTCTGCTGAAGACAGCTGCCTTCCCCAAGGCTGTGCCCCGGCCCTGGGGCAGCCCACAGGCAGTGACCGGTCATTACAGGGGTGCAAAACCCATGGGATCGGCTGGATCACAGCTGCATCCGGCGCAGCTTCTCCTTCTGGGACAAGGAGACACAGGGGGCATCCCCGGGCACACTGTCCAGTGACCTTCCTGCACAGGGGGTGTCCCCAGGCACACTCTCTGTCCCAGAGTCTCACCAGGAAACCCAACCAAACATGGAGATACAGGAAGGGATGAGAAGGGGCAAGGCCTCCCCAGAAATGAAATGGTTTCACCAAATATTGAGCACCTACGGAATACCAGATCAAGCCCAGCCCTTGAAGACTCCCCAGTAAATGCCTCCATATGGTCTACGGCCAGAGGGAGATAGTCTGAAGCCTAGGCCCCCTTGCTGCAAGAGAGGGGGGGTGCACGGCTACCGGCCGTGGAGCGCTCCCTTTATCCCCAGGCCCTGGGTGCTCTGTGAGGGCTGTCGCCTCACAACAGGGGAGGAGCCTGCTTATGGACGCTGCCGCCTCCCGGTGGCAAACATGCGTTGCTCGGGCCACCTACACGTGTTACCTCCTTGATTGCTTCTATAGTCCCATGAGGTAGGAGCCTGTGGAGCCCGTTTTGCAGAGTTGGAAACCGAGCCATGGAGAGGCTGAATACCTTCCCCCAAATCAACTAACCTGTTCATCTCAGCGCCAAGACTGCATCCCTGGTGGCTGGACCCCACAGCCCGGTTCTTGGTCCCTACGTCCCACCTGCCTTCCTTCAGATGTCAGATGGAACCTAACCAAGGATGGAACCTAACCAATGGCCCCCGGGCTCTAGCCTTATCTTCCATATCTCCCTGGAGCTGGAACAGTCAGAATGTGCCTTTGACTTGTCTCATTCCCCTTTCTAAAGAAAACCATGTGTTTACTCTCTTATGCCAAAGTTACAACAGAGCTGAAGTTTTGCCAGTGTTGACTTTAAACACTGGGCAGAGGGGTTAAAATCCTTCTCCCCGGTGCCTGTTTATGTTTCCAGAGCAAAAGGAGGTCGCTAAAAAAACGAACTCGGATCTACTGGGTGATACCTGCAGAAAGGCAGGGACTCCGGCCAGTGGACTCAGGCCCCTCCCAGCCTCGCCTCTCCCCTCCCCGTGTCCAGCTCTGCAAGGCTCCGAGGGTCCCCTGCTCCGTTCTCCCGTTCTCCCAGAGACGCTGAGCAGCTCCCTCTTCTGTTCTGTCTCCTGCTGGGACCAGAGCTCAGCTCAGCGGGTGGGGACCCTGACGGCTTCGCATTTAAGCATTTAGATACAGAGCGCCAGCAACATTCAAGAAGGAAGCAAGGGCTAGTAAAAACCAAGGGCTCCGGCCAGAGTTCACGCTCATCCCCTCGGGGAACCTGGGATACCCTCACCCCTCACCTCTCTGCCAAGCAGCCTAGTAGGCACACAGCCAGCTCTGCAAGGACAATGCAGACAGATAGGGATGGTCCTGCAGCACCACACACGTGCACACTCTCTCTCTCTCTCTCTCTCTCTCTCTCTCCGTACGGCAGAACCAAAATCATGCTTTTCCATACCCCTCCCGGAGGATGTCGAGAAGAAGCAAACCCTCCATCCCCAGCTCCCCAGGAACCCCTGAGAAGAAGCTGCACTTACCATTCTCCCTCCGAGGAAAGATTCTCTTCTGCAAACTCATGCCGTGAGGCTTTGAGGATGGGGCTGAGCCACGAAAAGCCCCTCGGAGCCCCAGCCGGATAAAGAAGTCCCGGGGATCACTGGCAGCTTCTGGGCGGGGAATATTTGAGTATAAGTTAAAACTACGAAGTAGCTAGCTCCTCGTTAGAACTGTTTTTCCCCCAGCAGGGAGGAAGGAAAAAAATCCCTTTCCCTCTGCCAGCAAATCTTTAAAGTCTCACAACGGTTACTTCCAACCCCTGCCCTTCTTGCGAAGCAAATGCGCATGAAAGCGATGTTATTTCACTGAATCAAGCCCTCAGATCATAAGCCTTTTCCTGTACCACAAACAGAAATGTAAAACCTCAAACTTTCCTTTGGACTCAGACTCTGTTGGGAGCGGACTGAACACAACCCTCTCTGAGGTCGAATGTATGGAAAATGTGCTAAACTGTTTAGATCATCCCCAGCGTTAGACTCTGCTCCCCACCTCCCAACTTTTTTTTTTTTTTTAATGAGTTCTGGTGTGTTTATGTAATTGCAAGGGACAAACACAACACCTAAAATCGCTGCCCAAAGTTGAAGTGATTCATTTTCTCCTTCACACACACCACACACAAACACAGAGCCTGTTTAATCCAAGTGAAAACGCCTTTCATAAAATCTGCTAAGGGCTTGGGCAGAGCGGCTGGTGGTGAATGCAGTCTGTGTCCCCAGAAAGGCAGTTGGGCTCCAGGGAAGGTGGAGGCTGACTTTAATCAGGACAAACAGAAGGCGCTCTGACTCCCACCCCTGTCGGGACAAGCAGGGATAAAAGAAAAGTGGGCATGAGCCCTGGCTAGCTGGGCTCTAAAATGTATTTTCCCTGTTTGCCTTCTCATACCAGGAGGTTTTATTTTTAGACTTGGATGAGATGTACTATTATTTTAAGAGACCAACTTGATTGCGGGGTTATATAAATCCTTGGATTCCCCACCGAAAAGACCAAAAGAATATACAATAAGTGGGCACAGAGTCAGGCTTGAAAACTGGGGAAGAATGTGATTGTTTTGGGGGATGCAGCCATGAAGGGTCAGACTGGAAGGAAAGGCTGCTCCATCTGATAGAGAGAAAAACCCACCGGGGAAGCAAGTGACACAGACCCTGGTCCAGTTCCGGGGTTACCTGTTGCCTGCCAAGAGCCCCCCGGCTTCCCGGGTTGGGTCCCAGCCTTGGCCAATGTCAGTGCCGCCACCGCTCAGGACCTTGGAGAGTCAAAGGCTCCCGAATTACCATCACTTAGCTCAAACCACCTCCGGGTCGCTATGGTCCCTCGACCAACACACACACCCTGGCAGATTGCCAGGAAAACCTCTGTTATCAGCACCTGGAGTGGGGACAGCTCCCTGATGGTCATCCCCATCCCGGTGCCCGCTGGCTCCCCATCCCGGTGCCCGCCGGCCCTACCTTGCTCTGAAGAACCAAGTAGCCGCCCAGGCCCCAAAGCTGCAGGACACTCCGAACCTGGCCCTGCATCCTAGTGGGACCCAGCTGTAGCAACAAAGAAAGCTGGGCTACCTAAGCAGGGAATGCTTTGCAGAAATTAAAATGATGTGATAAAGTAAGATTTATTGTTGTAGAAAGAGGTCAGCCCCATATTGCTAAGTGAAAAAAAAAATAGGATGCAAATTGCAAAGTGTGCAGTATGATCTATATACATGAAAGAAGATTAAATTTGGAGAAGTAAAATTATGGGTGGTTTCCTCTATGGACATCCCCATATCCATGATGATACCCCTACGATTTAGGGAGTGGTAACAGCTTTCCATTCATACCATCTAGAGGATGACAGAAAAAAAATTTTAATTAAAAAGAAATTTTTTTTTTTAAGTGAGTCACTGGCTTTAGAACTCCTAAGTAGATTTTGTCAAATCTATAGTGAGGACTATAACTTTGAAAAGTCATGGCTTTTGACATGCAGAAGAATGAAACTGGACCATTTCCTTACACCACACACAAAAATAGACTCCAAATGGTTGAAAGACCTCAATGTGAGACAGGAGTCCATCAAA